ATTGATAGATTTCAATTAATACTACTAATTAATACTACTACTGAAGCTATTCACTATATCTTGAGGAAAACTGGTCTGAACAGCTATAGTATAATATCTGTTAAAGATATTAGTGAGAAGAATTCGTGTCAGAACTTCTTTAATTAAGTAAACACATAAGCAATTTTATATTTTAGAAGCAGAGTAAAAATGGCGGGCTGTAAGAATATGCAGGTTTTCCTTACAATATATTTATTTGTATAACTTCCAAGAACTACTGCTTGAGACATTCAACTCTTTATAGCCTCACAAAGCCGCTTTTAATGCAATGGCCGCAGTCAATGCAACATTATAGCCTTTAAGTGCGTCACAAATAAGTATGTTGTTGTTGTGATAAGCGCTACAACATCAAATACTTTTAAGCTCACCACACGACAATCTAAAAATCAACCACTAACTTTATAAATTATCACACTTTGAAACGCAACGTCAATTTCTCTAAATTTAATGTCTATAATTAACGTGTCTGTAAGTGGCAAGTTTGATGGATATAGTGTTGCATGCAACCCTTAGGAAAACTATTACGGAAACTATCAAAAAGTGGTAAGAAATTTAATTGGCGTTAAGAAAACGGTAGTCATGCACAAACACTCACTCATAGCTATGTATGTGTCAGCTTATAGAAATACAAGTATGTGAGTTATCAACTGTAAATTAGCTCGTAGTGGGTTTTAAGCTTTGCTAGTGCGTGAAGAAGAAGAGTGTGTTGTAAAACGTTCATTATTACATTTTTTTCTGCAAAAGAAATAAGAGAAATTCTTGAATAACTCCTCCATTTTAAGCTCTCAACTCAGCATTGCACCCATCTTTTGGGAATTTAAATAAATTGTTATTCGCATAGTATCCCTACACAAACATGTGTCATATATAGATTTCCATTGAAGCTTATTTTCTCAACCCAAATAATTTGCATATTATTGTGTGTTTGTATGTGAGACTACTTCAATTACAAAAGATCAAAGCCAAACTTTGTGCGTCTTAACACTTTCTTATAGCACCACATTCGCCCACTTGCCGCGCAAAGGTTTCCTTAAGTAAATTGAAATTTGTGGTCGACAAGTAATTAATAGTTTGTTCACACAACTTTTGGTAAATGCCACACATTCTCGTTAGCAAATTGACATTTCCCATGCGATTTGAAGACTAAGCAATTTCGAAACTTTTGGCAAATTTGAAGAACTTCGAAATGTACAAATGTATATATACAGATATTTAATATATGTACATATGTATGTAAGCATTTATAATTCCTCTCTCTGCATTTAAGCACTTTGGGAAGCGATTGCGGATTAGTGTCGTACACGAAATATTGTTAAACTTCCCCCTCCGCACAAAACTTCGACTGTAGGTCTAGAATAAAAATGCTTTTCTCCAAAACCTGTTTTTGGAGGCGGCTTAAAATTGGCAAAATTTTAGAATGTTCCTTTAAATAAAACTACTGATTTAAGATGTCGAAAAATTTTACAGAAGAACTCATACACATCTTCTCGTCATAGTTAAAATCTTGATTCATTTGAGATTCTTAACTTTTGAAAAAAAAAAGCATGGAAACTTCAAATTTAATGGAGAATTTTCATTATCATTCGAACGAACTCTTGCCTGCGGCTACGGCTCAGATGATCCATCTATTAAGTTCAATTTTCGCATTTCGCATTTCGACTGGCAACTGGCGAGTGACACGCGTGATGTTTTGCTCTAAGGCCTGAATCGAAGCGGGATTGTCCGCTTACACTTTAGACTTTAAATATCCACACAGAAAAATGTCTAACCGTGTGATATAACACGATTTTTCTGGCGAATTCACTGGCCTAAAACGTGAAATTACCTGCGCAAAGTGTTCTCTCAATTCATTGATTGATGCGATGAGTCGGAAATCCACAAATGAACCTGTAAAGAGCGTGTTTAACAGTATGCTCAATAGGCCGATTATGTTTACCATTAATTGAGCGAAGCGCGCGAACAACGTTCTTTATAGAATGTGAATTTTCGTAAAAAAGTTGAACGATATATAGATTTGTAAAGTTCCATAATGAAACGCCAAATATTATAACTCTGAACAAAAATAACATTAAGTTTTTTACCAAGTATACAACATTCAGAACGAATGGACCGAGACCCTATAAAAAATATATATAAATGATCAAAGTGACGAGCTGCGTTAATCTAGTCATATTTGTCAGTATATCCGTTCATCTGTTTGTGTGACAGGCAGTATATACGCAAAGTAGCCTATCAGTTTTTGAGATATCGACCTGGAATTTTGCACGCATCCTTTTCTTATCAAGAAGTTATTCATTTGCTGTCGTTATTGGACCATTATAGAGTATAGTTTCTATAGAAACGTATATCTGCATCAACAAGTTTTTTATTTAACGAGTTAAAGACTGATTATTGTAAAATAGGATAGAATTATACGACTAGAGTTGGCAACAACCACATGTATTACTAAAAGAACACTAAGGTTATAATATTCATCTGTCACACAAATTCCTTGCTTTACTATGTCTCAGGCGAGTTTTCAATACATTATTATCAATATCTGCTCCCCGCTGCATTTTTTATCATACGAAAATCTTCAATCAGCCGCCTTATGTAAATTTCAAATGTCCAGTGTCTTATGTATGCTGCAAGCAACCAAACCAACCGCACAAAATTTCGTCCCTCTTACTATCATTAGTCTCCCGACTCTTCTCTGTAACTTGATTACCAAAAATAGTTACTCAAGTCAAGTTTAATTATTTTTAATCACTTATTTATGATGATTACCAATTTGGCCAAAGCAAAAAACTAATTTTTGCAAAATTTCGCTTCCCGAAGAAACCGACAACTAAATGCTTACCATCTTGTCGACTAACAGCATACCATTGACCATTTGTGTTACTCTGCTTTTGTGTGGCAGATAAAACTTTGCGCCAAAGCGCTTTTGAAAAGTTTCTTAGCGCCCTTAAAGTACAATTAAAATGCAATTTACTGCGAACTTGAGAGCAGGCGCTTGTTCTTTGAGTGAGAATGGGTGAGAGACAAGGCAGCTGAGCGCATCAACTGGTTCAAAGTTTTCAGAAATTTTCATTAGCAACTGGACGGCAGGTCTCATGCACAGCACCATGTTTGGATGTTTGTCTGTAATATTTTCGCATTGCAATTTCGCCACTATGTCTCTCCAAGCACCCTTCACCTTTGCTTAACTTCATTCTTATTAATTTAAATTTCAGCCACTCTCTCTCTATGTGTTTTAGCACTAATTTGCATAACCCAAAGTAAACCCTTTCACGTTGAGTGGCTGCTGGCCGCCTCTTAACTTGGCCAATTTCCATAATTTACCATTTTATGTATTACCCATTGCGAGTCTTAACAGCTAATATCCGTTTGCTAACTTTTGAAAAAGAAAAATACAGTACAATAAAGTGAAGAAAACAATACAATTTCCAGCATTTCATTAACACTCAGTATGGCTTAGAGTTCCAAGGCGCTCATTTGCAAAACGAAAACTCGGCACTTTGCATTTGCAATATTTGTTGTTGCTCGCCAGCGCACTTAAGTTGCAATTCCACATTTACAGTAACGTATGCGTGTATGTGTTCTGTGAATATTTGAAAATTGTAAACTGCACTGTAAACTTTGCTGGGGATTAAAGTGCAAATATTGCCCCTCAGCGTTTGACTACACCGTGGCGTATGCGTAACATAAGCAAAAATACCAAATGCCAGTTACCGATTGCCAGCTGCACTCTATGGCCTCGAATAGCTGCCTTTAGCAGCTCACACTTGTTGCCAAGAAATGTTTACAATAGCCGCATTGTGTTTTAAATGAAAATTTTGTTAGTTCCCCCTAGACTCTAGTTTGAGGAAATTCGTCGTATATATCTGTTTGTTGCTTGTTGGCGTCCTGTTGCATTGTATTTGTTTACCAGTCAGTTTGCAAAGGTACTTTTGGGTGTTTGAAAAGTTTCAACTCGTATTTGCATAAATTTCTGTTTGGCACTTTTTATAATCACCTTTGGTCGCACACAGTAACTTGATATTGAAATGAACTTTTTGCACTCTGCACTTGGCAGTTAGCTTTGGCGTTTGGTGGAAGATGGTTGTGCAGTCCATCTTATATTGTGTATAAGTGTCAAATATGTAGTCTTTTTAGAAACTGAGTATTGGATAGAAGTACTTGTGATGGAAACAGCTGCCATATATATAAAACAGCAGAGGTATACATCGCTTTGATGACATATATAATTTTCTTTTTTCTTTTCCAATTTTTGTCTTTAGCTCACAATATATAGGCTGCTGATCTTATACAGTGAAACTTCAAGGTTAAAGGTTTCGAACCTGAGGTAGGTCATTTCTATCTCAAAAATATATTTTTGTTTTATCAGAAATGCCTAATATGTTTAAATTTATCGCCATTGAGCAGTTATTATTGCTATAATTGTTTTCCATAGATTTTTTTGCGTCCTTTTTTTAGGTACTTTAATGACCAAAAAGTTTATGGTAAATTATTTCACTCTTGACACCATCTTTAGATTATGTTTTCTACAAACATAGGCTTTCATAAAAGAATAGCAATCGTAACAGAATCTGAGCCTCAATAATAGTTGAGAGTCATATAATATTATTTTTTGAAAAGTATAGTGGAAGACACGTGACTTTTAACTCTTCATAACTTCAAAGTTTTATCAAATAGAAGGCATTACACTCATCTCAGTAAGTGACAGCGGGACTGTTTTTTACACTTTTCCAGAAATTGAAAGAAATTGCAGAAACCTTTAAATCTTTAGAATAGTCCAATATAGAATCGCTAACATAGAGATCCAACAATTAACGCATGAAGAGCACTTAAAACGCGTTATCCAGAAGACTAAGAACCATTGCAATCTAGTACGATCCGCTGAAAGAACTTTTTTCACAGATGCAACAATAAACAAAAGTCGAAAAAAATTTTATAATAAATATTATTATTAATATTTTCTATTATCAATTCCATAACTTATTCAATTCTACTGACTTGTAGAAACTGATCAATGAGAACTCCTAGGTTCCTATATAAATGCTTTAGTTGTCTCCGTTTTATAATTCAATAAGCTCTTTAAGCTTTACACTATTGGAAAAGTTTCTGTGACCCTTAACTGTGCTTACAAATTCACATCTTGCAATTCCAATTTCTTCTCTAACGCATCGATCATCTTGCCATTATGTTTGATGGTACGCAGCCACTGCACGTACTCCGCGGGCAGACATGTCTCCAAAGCACCTTTCACAATAGTTTTCATATATGTTTTCGATGGCTGACGATCGTAGGGTATCTCTTCGGATTTCAGGCATCGCACATCGCCCGTTGGTTGATTTTTTAAATGATAGGCGCGACACTCTACCAACTTGCCGCTGTTAAGCTCCAGTACCGGCACTGTGATAGGCACATAAATGCCATAGGAGACGCCCTCTTGACTGAAACAGAATTGTACTTATACTTTTATGTTGTCAAAAAAAAAAAATAAAAAAATGTTTTACTTACTCATCTAAATCTTTTAAATTGCTGTTGTCAATCTCCCAAATGGCGCCAAAAACACAGGCGCTCGTTTTGGGTACTATGGTCGCGGGTGCACCATACCAAGTGCGGGAACTTGTATAGAAATCAAGTTGGTAATTCTGCAAAGTGAAGGATTAATATTTAGGTTATAAATGAGATTCTTAAATATGTTTATAATTTACTTCCAGCTTCCCAGGTCCTATGCGCACCGCCGTAGGATTTTGTATGTGTATTCTCTTGGCTAAAAGATTACTGCCAAAACCAAAGTAGTAAAACTTCGAAGACATCTAAAAAGCAAAAGATCATTCTATCATTTAAATTGTGATATCAGGTAATTATTGAGTTGAAATCTGTAATAAAGTTATTTTATTTAAATCTTAAACTATTTCTAAAACATATAGAGAATTGCAGAAATTCCTGCCTGAGTAAAGGAAATGTAAATAAAAATATTTGCTGAACACTAAACATTTATGTTAATAATTGTGTAGTTGGTAGAGAGTTTCGGAGTCAGGAGTTTTTAAATTGACTGTGTCTTACTCGAAAAATACTGAGACGTTTTTTCTAAATAATAAACTATGAAATAATTGACAAGGAAAAGTTTATCGAAATATCCACTATTCGATCGGTATAAATTCTATTTGCACATACATATGTTATGGAAATGATGCGGGAATGTCATTTAAAGTAATATGTTCTTAAAAATTTTTTATATACAGGATTTCTGAGAGACGATAAGGGAATTATTATTTTTGTATGTCTCCTAGAAAAATTACATTATTGTTATTTTTTTAAGTGAAAATTTTATTTTATTTAATTAATTTCAGCATCTAGCCACTTTGTAAAATTAAGCTTTCTGGATTGTAATAGATTTCAAAAAGCTTTCATAACAAACAGCTGTTCGCTAAAGTTTATTTAGTTGTCACTACTAACGTAACTGTCAATTTACTTCCCCTTTAACGTCATCATCTTGTTATTGAACAGCTGTAGCGTCAGCGCGGTCAAATATTTCTATTTCACTTCGCACATTTCTATTTATTACAGTTACCAATTGATTTATTTTACTTACTTTGTGTTAAGCACTGAAAACTTTCGCAAAAGTAGTATATTTTTTTACAAAATGAATTATTTCTGATCACAATTGTGTTGACAAGCTTCTAATTGATGTCTCAAGTTCAATGTTTTATCGGCGAATGTCAAAGGAACAGAAGTGTAAAAGTTTTGTTTATTTCTTGACTTGAAGCAGAGAAATAATCAAAACTTTGTGACGATTGTTGAAAGCTTTAAAATGTGCTTTTGTGAAAATAAAAGCACCAAAAGCTGTGTGTTGTGAATGCTGTGTGGCAGTAAGTAATAGAAAATTATAAAGAAGTTGCAATTATAAATGAAAATTAGACAAAATTGCATGATAAGTAATTAAATTAGGTGCATACACTGTAAAAAAATGCATGAGAAGCAATTAAAATAATTGCAAAGACTGTAAAAAAAAGTTGAAATTTACTTTAGAACAATTGAAATAATTTTGCGGAATTATTAAATCATTTAATATGAGAAATTTCGGTGGAGAAGTGAATTTGCATTCTTTATTCTATACATATTGCTGTTCCCTTTTTTTGTATTTATGCTAAACGAGATTTAAAATTAAATTTTAAACAAAAGTCTAATAAGATATACACTTTTAAGTAAGTATAAAAAAATTGTTCTTAAAAATTGTTTAAAAAAATTTATAATTATTAGTAAAACTAATTTTTCTTAAAATTTACTTCAATGAATTTATTATAAAAACTCGTTTATGACTATAAATTACTATTTTCTTTGGAGTTTAATTAATTAAAAGTATTTTTAGACATACTATGTACTATACATATTAGAGACATTTTTTTTTTTTTAATTTTTTAGAAACAAAATTATTTGAATAGCCTTACGTCTTTTGTTGAAATAGTTTCCTTGTTGTTACTCATTCGACTATGACAATTTTAATTAAAAACAAACTCTGAAAATACTTGAAAATAAATATTTGTTTTATGAAAAATTTATATTCGACACCAGTATTTTTATTAAAAAAAATTATTTCAAATATTCTTTTAATAAAAAAATCATATTGTTAATAATTATTGCCATTATTTTTTAAAATATTTGATTTAATATTTTTGTGTAATTTTATTAAAGTCTGCGGCATATATACAAATCACTTAAATATAATTTTTCATTTGTAAATATAAATTTTGAAAATTCTACATTTTATAAACATTTATCACAGTTAATAACAACACTAATTGACGTGCTTTCTTTAAGAATTCAATTGCACGTCTTTTAAGTCCAAAATTTGCTCCAAGTCCGGCGCTACATGGCCATTGTGCTTTACAGATTTCAGCCACTCAACATACCATGGCACAATGCCAGTCTCCTCTGCACCTTTCACCAAGCATTGCAAATAAGTTTTCGAAGGTTGACGGTTAAGTGGCACCTTATCGTCATCGGAGAAATCATTTAACGGTTTTTTCGGTTGATCGGCTAACAGATAAGCGCGTGCGGTGGCTACTGTATTATTCGACAGCATCACAGGCAAGCTGGCTGCATAGTAAATGCCCTCGTGGACGCCTTCTTGGCTGCTCGGAAGAAGGGTAAATGTTAATTTTTCGTAATTGTATATTAAAATAAATAATTATTTCATTTTTACTTTTTTTTTTTTCAATAATAATAATTTTTTTTTTTTTTTTTTTTTTTTTAATATTTTTTGTTCGAAATTTTGTTTGCCATATAAAAAAAATGTCAACTCACTCATCAATATCATCCAAATTGCTTAACGATATCTCCCACAGTGTGCCATAAACGTATGCGCCAGGCGTAGGCACAATAGTCGCTGGTGCACCGCCCCAACGTTCCGTGTAGGTATTAAAATCCAATCGGTAATCCTTCAATATGCCCATACCAATTTTCACCGCGGTCGGATTTTGTATATGTATGCGTTTGGTCAACATATTGCTGCCATAGCCGAAGTATATGAACTTATCTCCCACGCGCTCTGGTAAGTCTCTTGGTATAACGTAAGCACTCACGCAGGACCATAAGGATAATGGTAATATTAACAGTAAACTATAGTAAAGCATTTCTTTTCAAAGATTACAAGTTTTTAAATGTAACACAATTTATTTACGAAATTTCTTGACTGCTTTGCGTCTACACACCTGGTTTGTCTAATGTCGACTGCCAACACTTGAGTGGCTTACTGTTRTAGATAGCTTCGGTATGGCGTTTGAATTTGAATACTAAACTTGTATATACTTGTATGTACGATCTCACTAATATATAATATATTTTTTCGCTCACCTACTTTGTCATCTGTCGTTTTACATATATGTATTTTGTGTTATTGTTTGACTTATTAGATTGAGCCTATGTTGATATAATTGCTGATTTGTGCGCTATACTTTGTTCTACTTATGGGAACATCTTGGGCTTTCTCAGTATAATTTTGTTTCTGACAAATTTTCTCTCCAATATTATTATCGTTTGTAGTATTTATTCTCTTTCGAGTCTTTTTTTTTTTTATTCTGTTTTTCCAGTTTCCAGATATCGAAATTATTCTAATGGTACTTCTTTTATGAACTACAGACAGCCGATTACTGGTACAGAAAGAATAGTTCACCGGTGTTGAATCACACGGTCACGGAGGCATCGTCGCAGGCGTATTAAGCGAGGTAGTACGCTCACCAAAAAATTCCTTCAATAAATCGATTTTTCGTTGACTGTATGGAGGGTAGCGCCGTCTTGTTGAATCCAAAGGTCCAAGGTAGTTGTCCGCATCAAAATCCGCCAATTCAGACACGAAAAAGCCACTAACTATAGCTCTACAGGGTTCTTCAATGACTGTAAAATTATGACCAGCTTCATTTTTGAAGAAATATTGACTAATGTTGCACCCCGCCTATATAGCACACCAAAGTGTAACATATTAATAATGTAACGTCGTCTCAACAATGGCCTGTGGATTATCATCATTCGAAATGTGACAATTTTATTTATTTGAGTACTCATTCAACAAAAGGTGAGCAAAAAGATTCATTCCATGAACGTAAGACCCTATTGTAAGTTCAAAGTTTTTATTAATATGATAGTCAAATAATTAGATAACAAAGTTGCGAATAGGTAATTTGCATTGAATTTCTGTTAGACAATTTTATTAATCTGCATAATTAACAAGAAAAAGAGAATAAATTATTTCAAAACGAAAATAAATAAGATAAGAAGGTGAAAGCTGCCGAAGTAAAAATAATTTTTAAAATTAAGTAATCATATTATTGTTTGTAATATTATATTATTTAATTAGTAGATTTCACACATCCAATAACGAAGACCATTTCTTTCATATCAATATATAAGAAATAATAAAATTTTGCCGAAAATAATTCTAAGAGGAGTAAGAAATCGTTTCTTGTTATACAACTTTTTTTTACTCGGGATGATTTGCAGTAAACATAAAATAATTATCGTTTTTTCGCTAATATTTCAGCAATTTAATAATATTATTATTTGTTATTGTTTCGAGTATATACTTTGTTGCTTCGATTATCTCGCGTCACTCGCTTAAGTAATGCTATTAATGAGTCTATAAACTGCGCGCTTACTTTAAATAGGAAATCTCCTTGATTTCTATTAAAGTTTGTGGGAAAGGTCGTCACCCATTCACGTATAATAGAATCAAATGGGATTTAGTTTTATTTGGTTTGCGCACAGCAGAAACATAAAGGCTGATTTAATTTTGATTAGCTGGATTTTTTAGAAAATATGAATAGAGAGATACATATGTAGGTAATCTTGTGCCCGTATACTTATGGTTGTCTATTATTTTCAAACAAGCTACACGGTGAGAATATTTTGCATCAATATAAAAAACCAAGAAAAATTAGTCAAATTATAACCAAATCCCATCATTTTCTGATCATTTTTAATGTTTTTTTTTCGTTAAAAGCTTTTGCCGGCCCTTTAAAGTGAAACTGTCATTTTCCAGGTTGTGGGTGGAAAACACTCTTAATATAAAAAAAAAATATTAGTAAACGGTGGGGGGAGGTATTTTATATGTCTCAAAGTAAGAAATGAATCGATCAAGTAGTTTTAACATGACAGTGAACACGGACTTTGAAAAGGTAGTTTTGAGAAAAACACGTTAAAGGTTTATCAACTGATAAGTGACGAAAAAAATTATCCAATGGTGTAAAAACAGTCCGAATGAAATTACTCAATCCATACTTAACAAATTAATTAATTAATTCGCAAAAAAAAAAAAAACACTTTTTTTTACCATGAAACGCAAAAGCCCCCATTAATGGTGTTTCATTTGTATTAGACGTGCTCGATGCCTCTGCCACGCGAATTACATTAAAACTGGGTTTTAATCAAGAATAAATAATGCGTAGTTTCTCAATTGCTAATTGGTGATAATGTGCAATACCTAATATATTCATTAAGATTTTAAAGTACGTATGTATATACTAATTATTTGCAGTTTTGAATTTTTTGAGAGATAAGAATTTCAGTGATTTACTATATTGACTGGTATTCATTTATTCAAAATATATTTGTGGACATGTCTGTTTTTACATAGTTATGTATAGATACTTTTTAAGACCCTAGGTACCGAGCAAATGGGCCACAGTACCTAAAGTTGACTTTTGTTCAAAAGTATCGGTCAATGTGTGGTAAATATAACTGAAATTAAGGGATAATCCTTCTCGTAAAATGGTATGTCTGTATGTCAAATATAGTTTGAATCGGGCCAATACTTCTTTGTACTGCATACATCACCCAATGAAATTGAGATACCGTGTTTTTGCTCATAACGGTGCATCTTTGTGTCTAAAATAGATAAATTTGAGATAAAAATTGGCCTAGTCCCCATATAAGGATTTTTGAACACTAAAGTATTTCCCTACCTTTGATTCTTGTAAATTACAAGAGTATAAAATGTTCGGTTGCACCCGAACTTAGTCTTTCTTTACTTGTTTTTCTTTTTTAATATTGTGCACTACTCAAATTTACTTTGCAGCATAATCCGCTATTTTCTTTTTAAGTTCTATTATAAATATTTATATGAAGATTTGTTTTTAAACGTACATCTTTAGATACTTCAAATTCTCCAAGCAGGGTGCTGATGTATTTTTGTTTTTCGAATATATCGCACAGGGTGCTAAAGTAATATGTTTTTGTTTTTAATAAAACATATACATTTTTTGTTCGCACAGTACTTCAAAAGAAAACTGTGGTAACTCAAGCATTGCAATGATACAGCCGGTTCTTGTATATGCTAAGTGATTTCCTGCAATATCCGCAATACACAATACATCAAAATAATATATTTTTACCGACGAATATAAAAATGAGCTATCTGAAATATCTTGTACTGAGAAACGTTCAAATGTTGCCTTAAAAAAATTATTTACATATATATGTATTGTTCTGTAGAAATATACATTTTCTGCTCCTCTGACACACTCTGTGTTTTATCAGCTGTTTTTTCTTAGCAAAGACAAACTCCCTGACGTTGGCTAAATTTCCCGTTATGCATAGGTGGCTGGCGTTGCTAACTGCTCTTACTGTTAGATATTGTGTCTGTTAGATGTTGTACTGTAAACGGTACATTTCAAAATACCGCTTGCGAAAATTAAAATTCACAGTCAACGGGGCGTATGAGTGATATTAATTTTAAGGCTCATAGTAGTTCGTGAGTATTTATACTTCAAGGGCATGAGCGCTTGATCCATGTAAAATAAAAATGAAATGAAATAAAAGTTATAGATAAGAGCTATTAAATAAATTTACTAGTAATAATTTCTTTGAGTTTAGTCTTTATGAATTTTTATTTGTAGATTTAAGTTTTTATTGAATTTTTAAATTATAAATAAAATTTCAAACATATTTTACGCCACTCACGCCCACTGTGCGTATTTATGAAATTATATATATGTAACTCTAACTTATATGGGTTAGATAATCAAGAAGATGTTTATATGTGTACATACATACACATATACCATATGTATTTATCTCTTATATGTAATTCTCATATAGGCACATGCCTTCAGCATATCCAAATAAATCACTACCCTCTTGTACACTTTAACTAACTTATCTGATTTTTTGCTGAGCTCTCGAAATGAAAAAATGACAACATAATGATAAATGGATTCTTGTGGTGTCACCAACGAAATTTACACTGCCAACTTTTGTCACCAAATGTTATTGGCTGGTGTAAACAGCGCCCGCGTGCTATTGCGGTGAGGAACAATTCCAAGTCTGTTGACAAATATTTCCGATTATAAATTCACAGGCAACTGACAGATATGTACATTCTGATGTATATTTATATTACATCCCTATATGTATATAAATATTATATATGTAAGAAGCACATATTTTAGATGTATGTCCCTACTGATAAGTGTGTAGCTTTTGGCTAGCTGAAATATGAAATCGCTGTGTTTAAGCAATCATGATTTGGTTAAGACGAGGGTTCGCAAACGTATTTTGACTTCTTGGCACAAATTGGTTTCATATCAGGCATATGTAAACAAATATACACATAATATTTATATGATTTTGTGCTAATATTTTTTGAATATTTTTTCTATGATTTAAATTTAAGTTGTTGTAGGTTCCTTATTTGCATAAATACACGAGAAAATAAAACACAAAGAGATAAATTTGTGCTGTCTAAAAATTTTATTGAGGAAAATTTGTATATTTTAAATTTTTATTAATAAAGAACTTATTTTTAGCTTCAAAACTATATATATATATTTATTACTATTTTGCAATATATACTATATCAAAGTAAACCGTATCGATTGATGTTAACGCCTTAAAATATGCTTAAATAACGCACAAGTGCGTGCTTAACTAAATTTGTCCAAAGAGAGTCATATTTCATAAACTAAATTTAGCAAACGGCATACAAATCATACTGTAAGGAATAATGTGATGAGTAAAAGTTAATAGTGGCGTGAATTAGTTGCAAAAAGAGTTACGCTGTAATCAATCATCGCATGCGAGCGAGCTACTATGATACAAATATGTATATATTTTTGTATGTGAAGGAAGAACTCTTAAAGATTTTCGTATATACAGTTATCTATATTAAAATCAAAAGGTCATTGATTTCGCTTAAATTATTCTGCCATTTTGGCAGTAAAAGTTAGGTTGAGTGCTATGAGAAAATATTTAAAGACAAAATTGTTTTTGAGCTAAGTGTAATATAAATCAAATAATCTTCAGATAAACACATACATTATGGTTAAGTACATATATCGAAAAATAAGCAAAATGAATTAGGTTAAAAAAGTTTAGGTCATCTTAGATAGAAGAATGATTGACTACCACTTTAGGCCAACTATCATTAAGCTAAAATTGTAAGAACAGCATTAACGTACTCATATTGACCCCCACTAGATTATAGTAAAACTTTAAAGATGTTTCTGAATTAAAAAAAGGAAGAAAAAATAAAAAGATTTGGTAAGTGTTATATACTTGTCTTCCTAGTTTCATATGATATATAAATTCTTCCTATTTTACGGATAGAATCTATAGCTCACGAAAGAGGTGCCCAGATGATTATAACAAAGTCTTAATTAATGACAGTGTCTTAATTTTTCTTGGAGCTGTTGATCAGAAATATCTTGTAGCGGTTTCCATATGAGAATACACGGTTCTAGAAAAATCCTACCGGGCCCACAAGTATGTGTGAAAAAAAGAAGCTAACGATGAATTAATGTTAGATTGAGCGATTTGTTTTCTGCAAAATATATATATATATGTATGTATATCCTTTATTTTACATTAGGTGGCAAGACCTCATATTTTTACTTTAAATTGATTTTATGTTAACACTTTATTTATTTATTTAGTTTTAAAATTGTACCCGAAAATCATTTTCATCAATTATTGTAAGGTGGCAACTCTGTTTTTAATTTGTTTTGAAACAAGAGCATTGAAGAAATTTAAAGTATCGAACAATCTCTTTATTGACTTAAAGTTAGAATAAATAAAAAAACTTCAAATTTACATATATATATTTCTTTAAAATTAGGTGGCAACACCATATTCTATATTTCTAATTTACACTAATTTTTAATGAACATTTTGGAAATTAAGTTTTAATTTTAGCATAATGTGTGTGTATTTAAATATTTATTGAGGGTGGCAGCACTGTTTTTAGTATAGTTTCACACAGACCCATGAGCAAAAGAATTTTAGTAATGAAAA